TGTATAACAGCTTCATTTCTTCTTTATATAATAGCCTTTCTATCTTCCTCCTTTAGACAGTAGCTATTGGTTACCTACCTATTACACAAACTTCTATTCTTTTTCTCCTGCATCTCCCGATCTTAGTCAATAATATTTTTTAAGTGTTTACCTTGTTCTGTTGAACATACTTTTATTAGTTGACTTGTCATCACTAAGTGCTATCTCTGACTCCCAACTGCTGAGATGACCAGCGACGTGTTCTGCTTTCCACCTTTCTCTCCCCGTTATCCTCCTATTTTTGGTCAGTTGTCAAAGTACATAACACAGTGGTCGGCAAACTGCGGCTCGCGAGTCACATGCGGTTCTTTGGTCCCTTGAGTGTGGCTCTTCCACAAAATACCACGTGTGGGCGCGCACGTACAGTGTGATTGAAACTTCGTGGCCCATGCGCAGAAGTCGGTATTTTGTGGAAGAGCCACACTCAAGGGGCCAAAGAGCATGTGGCTGGCAAGCCACAGGTTTGCCGACCACTGACATAACACATCATCACTCATATCCTCACCTTTGTTAGTACCTAGGACTGCAATTACTTGTATTATTTCCACCCTGAACCTTTCTCCAAAATTTTCTCCAGCATTTCCTGCTTGGATGGAATTTACCTCTAGTAGCATAAAGTTGCTGAGTTTTAACAGAGACACAACTATGTCAACCAGATCTCTATCAAGATAAAGAGCATCCCCATGACTCAGAAGACTCCCTGGGTGTGCAATACATGTTATTGAGCGCATGCATGCCTTTTTTCACTAGAGATAAATTAAGAGCTGAATTGTTTTTTAAAACCATCATTCTGTCCTAGCTGGTTTAGCTCAGTGGGTAGAGTGTTAGCCTGTGGACTGAAGGGTCCCAAGTTTGATTCCAGTCAAGGGCACATGACTATAACATCCAAAGACTATATATTTCAACAACAACAACAACAACAACATGATTCTAAAAGCCACTGTTTTGTTGTAAATTTGACTAAAGTGTTGATTGTGCTGTTCTAAATTTGCAACGGTATTAGGCTGTCATGTATGGTTAGTGCCATGATTGAACGGAATGCCCAGTGTGGTGTCAGCTCCCCACAGTGCTCATGAGAAGAGTCCTCATTTAGGAACCTGAAGTCCTGTCTGGGGAGGTGGGAGAAAGGGCTGCCCGGACATAGTGTGGGTGCGTTGGCACCCCTGACGGAGCAGCCCCCACAGAGTGTCCGAGTGTCCAGGCCTTTCAGTTGGATGAGAAAAGGTGGTTCTATTTCTGTGAGGTTTTCTCATGCAGAGGAGCAGTAGTGAACACAGGTGCCTTGCTTTATTTTTAATTTTTGTTTTTTTAATAAATTTGTATTGATTTCAGAGAGGAAGGGAGAGAGAGAGAGAAGCATCAATGATGAGAATAATTGATCGACCGCCTCCTGCATGCCCCCTTCTGGGATGGAGCCCACAACCTGGGCATGTGCCCTTGACCGGAATCCAACCTGGGACTCTTCAGTCACCAGGCTGGCACTCTATCCACGACCTAGGGCAGTTGCCTTACTTTAGAAGTAATTACCCCAAAGGCCTCAAAGTCTGTTGGTGACAGGTGCCAGGTGGAACCTGATGAGCATTGCATGAGGGATAGGATGTTTCTCAGTATTAATGTGTCCTGGGGCCTGAGGCACTGGTTGTCCTCAGAGCTTGCTGTTCTAGTTCCAGCAGCGAACCTGCACAGGGACTCTTGGGCTGTGGTTGCAGTGACCTTATTAGCATCCTTGGGCTGGTGTCCGTTTGTCACCTTCTGTGGAGATTTCCTTTATATGTGCTGTCCTACCACAGATGACCTCTGGGAGGCAGCAGAGCCTCACCCCTGCTGCTGTTCCCTGCAATCATCCAGAAGGCCCTGGCAGCCATATGCCTGGAGCTCTGCCTGTTCACTTATCTCTTGTTTTCTGGATTCTGTTTTGGCACATTTTGGTGGATTCTGGTTCTGCTGGGTCTGTCATAACACCGATGACAGGGGGTGAGGTCACCCACATGGTAGTAAGCAGCTCTGTCCCCACAGAGTTGAGAACAGTGGAACGTTTTTACCAAGTGTCCCAAAGAAAAGGGGTAATACGTGTATGACAGCATGAAATCTATTTTTAAAACTCTCATTATATGAGACATCAGGGAGGAAATAGAATTTAACAGGAGTTTTGTTTGAATACTAAAAGACTATAGAAAATAATAACTAGGTACTGGATATTTTTGCATGCTAATGTTCAGATTCTTCTCTCTCTCTCTCTCTCTCCATATATATATGGAGACTGCAATTACATATATATATATATATATATATATATATATGTAAAACTTCTATTCTTTATA